GCTTTGGACTCAAGGTTTTCTCTCCTGAGCCTTCCACTGAGTCCTTGAAGAGGAAGCCAAAGGTGCAGAAGCTAACGATTTAATATTTGGTCTCACACAAAATGGAATAAATACAACCAAACTCTAATTTAAAAAAAAAAAGAAAAAGGTTTTCCGTATACACTCAGTTATACAAACCTAAATAGCCAAAACACAACAATCACCAGTATAAGGGTAATTTGCCTGATATTCAAATTTCATAGGACTGCCACTCCATGTGGAGCAAGAGTTCTTCAGTTTTTTGCGTGTCCTACCCCACTTTGGCATAATCTGGTGAAGTGGATGGACCCTTCTCAGAATCATGTGTGCTGCCTACATTCACAACTGAATGAAAAGTTACATTGCAGGTGGTGAAAAGAAAGATATGATTTTTTTTTTCTCATACAAAGTCATAGATGCTCTGAAATCTATCATGAACTCCTTGGGTTTGTAGACCCCAGGGTAAGAATTCCTGACTTAAGGCAAATATCCCAATAAAATGTTTTGTGTTTGCTTTTTTTTTTTTTCAATAGTCATTAACATGTTTTCAAATGTCAGCTGTTTGGTGCTGAATACAAAAAGCATTCAGATAAATGAACACATTTATCTGTTTTCATCAGACTGCTCAACACATTCTTGCAGTATAAGTACTGCTACTATTCTTAATTTTAAAAAAAAGTCAGTTGCTGAGGGAGGAAATAGAATCTGATGGAAAAGAAAGATTCATAAAGTTAATGTACCAATCTTTTACTGAGCTTGAAGGAGAATGCTTAAAGGTGAAATAAGACTCTTCATTGGGGCAGACAGTTTCAAGAGCTAGCAGGTGAACCTATTGCCATGGCCATATTTAAGAAACACTCCCACACTACCTTTGCAGGAAATTCTCTCCTCTAACTGGTTTCTTGTTTAATTACACTATTTGCCCTCCACAGTTACATCATTACAAGAATAAATCCATTCAAATAAGTCAAAGGGAAATAGAGTCCCACTAGAGGGCTAGATAAATGAAAATTTTAAACCATGAAGAAAAAAAAATCTGAAAGTACAAAAGATGAAAGAATGCAAAAGGTAATATCCTACCCAGCTCTCTCTAGGCTAGCATACCAGATGAGCCTAATGCACTTTTTCAGGGGGTAAGAAGCTACCTTCTCTATTAGCAAGTGCACAAAACAAAACCTATGCCCTCAGTGACTTCTCAACCAAGCTCTGAATCAAGAAAAAGGAACAACCCATGTTCCAAAGAACACATCCTCACAGATGTAAAATTGACCAGGAACTAGCAACCATGTTTTCCAGCCCATCAAGTACTCTAGCCCCTGGGGACAAAAGGCCAGAGTGACTCCTCAGCTTTGCCCAGGGTCTGAGGGCCAGTACCCACACACGGGTGTCCTGCCTCTAAGTCCATCCCTCTGTGCCAAACTGTCAGCTCTCCAAAGAAAAATATGGAGTGGAAATGAGCAGGGGAAAGGACATGGGGATCATCTAGCCCCACTTCCTCATTTTAAAGATCAATGAAGTGAGGCACTGGGAGATGTAATAATCTAGATTCAAACTCAGGTGCTCTGACACCTAATCCAGGCATCTTACTGCTACATCTTAATTTGTATTTGAGGAAACTGAGTCTCTGAAAAATTAAATGGCTTGTCCCAGGTCACACAGCTAGTACGTGTCAGAGCTGGGCTTCAAATCCAATGGTCTCTCTACCATAATATACCGATTATGTGTCAAGAATCATAATAATCAAGAGAAATGCAACTCTGAGTTACTACCTCATACCCATCATATTGGCTAATATGAAAGAAAAGGAAAATGATAAATGTTGGAGGAGATGTGGAAAAATTGAGACACTAATGCACTGCTGACAGAGTTGTGAACTGATCAAACCATTCTGGAGAGCAATTTGGAATGCCCAAAGGGCTAGAAAACTGCTCTTATCCTTTGAACCATCATTACCACTACTAGGTTTGCATCCCAAAGAGATTAAAAAAAAAAGGAAAAGAACTTATTTGTACAAAAATGCAAAAATATTTATAGCAGCTCTTTATGTAGGGGCAAAGAATTGAAGGGATGCCCCTCATTTGGGGAATGATTGAACAAGTTGTGGTACATGATTGTAATGGAATACTACTGTATAGAAATGACGATCAGGATGCTTTCATTAGTGGAAAGACTCACATGAACTGATGCAGAGTGAAGTGAGTAGAACCTTGTAGGAGAACAGTAACAGTAATTTTGTATGATGATTAACTATGAATGACTTAGCAATACAATGACCCAAGATAATTTCAAAGTACTAATGATGAAAAATGCTATTCATCTCCAGAGAAAGAACTGATGAAATGCAAATGCAGATTGAAACATACTTCTTAGCTTTCTTTATTTTCTTGTTTGGGTTTTTTTTTTTTTTGGTCTGTGTTTTCTTTTGTAACACGGCTAATATGGAAATATGTTTTGCATGACTTCACATATATAATCTAAAATCTAAAAAAAAGGATTTTTTTACATGTATTTGAGAAAAATAAAATTGAGTTAAAAAAAGAAATCATAATAATCAGAGACCAAGAAGATCTGTTGTGTTTCAAGAAGTGGATATTAGCATATAATAGATGAGATACTAATGTAATATATAAGGGACTGGAGACATAAAAAAGCTATCTCAAAGTAATTTCCATTTTTGGTTGCACTCTCCCATTTGAGGTAATTCTGTTTTTCAATGCAACAATCAAAACTAAGTAAATTTTTAAAAAATATATTGCACACTATGAAAAAAATAATCTATTTTGTTGCTTTACAAAAGGTTGAAAAAAATCAATAGTATCATCATTGTTGCTATCTCATTTCACTGACTTGCAAAAATCCACTTTCCAGAGCTCAGGAACAGGGAAAGATAAATTCTTTTCAGGAGAAAATACAAGTTGTACTCAAGTTGGTCATAAGAAGGGCTCCTTTTAGTGATTCTGGTGGTCTAGTAGTGCGAGGAGATTGTGGGCAGTTGGAAAAAACCGCCTTCCACAGGAGGATGCAGGAAAGGGAGCTCTCGGCACCCGGAATTCTACAGTTCAGAGACTTGTTTTGGAATAAGCAGAGATCATTACCTTCCCAAGAATCAGGCTACATTTTTCCTGGCTCTTCTACTTACTGTCAGCAAGACCTAGAGCACACAGGGATCTCTGTGTGTGTGTGTGTGTGTGTGTGTGTGTGTGTGTGTGTGTGTGTGTGTGTGTTTTAACCTCCTCCCCGTAAGAGAAAGAAAAGTCATACTGAAAACATTTCAGGAAGAAGACTCCCATAGGTCATCTGATAATAGATACAGAGCTGGAAGGGGCCTCAGAGGTCATGTGGTCCAAACCTCTCATTATAAGGAGAAGGAAAGTGAGGGCCAGAGAGAAGTGAGGTACCCAAGAACACACAGGGGTCAAGTGACAGAACAGATGCTCGGACTCCCAATTCACTGTCCTTTCCACTGGAAGAGGCTGACACCTCTCCTAACCCATATGTGGACTCAAAACATTTAACCCACGCCCATAAGAGTTGACACTTACCACCGCTAAGTTTTAATGAATTAGATTTGGACTAAAATGCTATAGCTGGTTTTAGTCCCCTCTCTGTCATCTGACACACTGCCTGTCTCTCCCAGCTTTGTGGCATCTGCAGACTACGAAATAAGTGTGACATTCACACCAACAGCCAAGTCAATGACAAAAAAAGGTTAAACAGCACAGACTCCTGGGATGCTCTACTAGGTACATCCCTCCAAGGTGACAGTAACGGAGGGACAACTAATCTGGGTCTGGTCATTTAACCAGTTCTCAACCCACTCCATTCTCCTCCCATTTGGCCCACGTCTCAACCTCTTCTCCATAAAAATAACAGAAGAGACATCACCAAATTCTTCACTGATATCTAGGTAAGCTGTACGCACAGCATTCTCCTGACCTCTTACAACAGTTACTCTCTCAAAAAAGGAAACATCTCACTAGACCTTTTCTTGACATCCCCTTGAATTATTTTTCCTTTTTTGAAATTGGGAACATTTGAGCTTTTCTAGTCCTGAGGCATCGTCCCACTCTCTCTGATTGTTCCCATATCAGGAGTGCCATCTTGGTCATCATTTCAGTCAGGTCTCTCAGCACCCTGGGAGACAGTCCACTTGGGCCTGGTGATCTGAATACACCAAGGGAAACAAGTTGCTCTCTTCTGTCTCCTTCCATCTCTTGAGTTTCAATTTCCCAGTAGCCACGTTGACCCTCTCCTGTTCAGTCCAAATACCATTCTTTTAGGCAGGTGAAAGAGAAGCAAAGGAAGAAACAAGAAACTCCACTTACTCTGTTTCTGTATTCATTGCTCCACGCACCCTGAGCAGCAGTCCCAGAATTTCTCTGATCCCTCTCTTTTTCCAAGTATAACTCAGAGAAAGAAAACCTTCTGGTTACCTTTGACTTTCCCTGTCAGCTTCACCTTCTAAAAGCCACAGAGTACAAGGACTGCAAAAGGTAGGGCAGCCCTGATCTAGTTCAACCCCCTCATTTTACAGTGGAAGAAACTGAGGACCAGAAAGGAGAAATGACTCACTCAACATTATACAGGCATAAGTGAAAGAACTGGAATTCAAACACTGGGTCTTTAATTCAAAATCCAGTGCTTGTCCCATTATACCCCAATGCTACTATTCAGGATTTTCTTTCTATTGCAAGGATAGCAAAATACTAAGTAGGGAAAAGATTTTAACCACATCCCAAGCTATTTATCCCAGTGGCAGTTTGGCTGACCAAATACTATAGAGGGAATTCTCATATGGTGTACAAAGTTGAAGTAAAAGTTTCTGAGTTCTCTTCTGAATCTAAGATTATTTGAATTGTAAAAATCCAAACTCCTCCCCACTGACCTCCCCCCCAGTCTAAGTATTACCCGAAAAATTCCATTTTTTCATTAGCTTTTGAAAGAATGTCAAGTTCTATCTTTCCCAACTAACTTCTCCGTACCTTGTTTCCTTCATTCATCCACCCTAAGCTTTTTACGCCAAAGGCTGCCTCCTTAGAAGAGACATCCAGACAGGTGACAGGTTGGCCATACACAGAATGAAGAACTCGGCTTGGGTTGTCTGCTTTCAGGAGGTATACAACATCTTCAGCAGCTGCAACTGCAACAGGATGCCTTCCAGCATCTGGAATCAGATGAAGAAAGTTGACCTATTAAAAGAAAAGTTTTGAAAATCTTTAATGGCCTCGCTGGAACGGCTCTTAACATTAGAATTTAAAAGTTCAGCCAGGACCACACTGACAAAAACAGGATCTTAGCATAAAGCAAAACCCCAAACTTAGCAGTTAAAAGCTTCCAAACCATCTCTTTGGCTCTTCATATGTCATATGTGGTACCGTGATTCTTACAAAGATTTTATCTTCAGATGACAGAAAATAAATAAATAACCTACATCTTCATATCACCACTGTGTTCATGTCATGTACGCAGATGAAAAATGAGAAGGCAAAATTGAGTGATATGCCCAACATCCCAAAGCGGCACCTGACTGACAGATAAGGCTAGATAAGATCTAGATAAGATCTTAGACTTTCACAATTCTATATCCCATGCTATAACCCTTAAATTACATGAATACATGAGTAGTACTAAGGTGAAGAGGCTGTTTTCCTCTTTTAAAGGTAGGAGTTACTTGCACACTTCTATTTTTGATTCTACATAACTAGCAAATAATTACTTGTACATTTTTTCCTAGAGTAACGTTTTTACTCTATACAATGGCTGTATTAAAAAAAAATCGTGGCTATAAACCCCTCTATGGTCTTACAAGAATAAATAGTACAAATGGCATTATCCTGACAATAGGCCAAGAGGTCAAAAAGCCTGAATTCCGAAGGCCATCCAAGAGAGCTTGTAAGATAGCAAACACTGGCGACCTTGTTGATCTTCAATCCCCACAGTGTGAATGGTACCCTAACACTCCAAGTTATGGAATTAGCACAAAGGATGGGCTTTCTGAGCTAACATTACAAACGCTGAAATGTTGTCAAGCCTATCTGGAAAAAACAAAATGGCACACCGTGATGGCGGAGGCCTGCAGGAAGTACAGTATTTGCTGACAACTTCCCCCTCCTCCCCATCTTGGAATAGAAATAAAATATACTTTAAAAGCTGTCTTATAATAAAGTTACTTGGTTTTTTTTCTTCCTAGTTAGAATCTTTCCTTCTTCCTTCTGCTAAACTACAACTTCCATGACAGAATCAAGACAGATAACTGCTTGGCTTTCTGTTGGTAATTTAAATTTTGTTGAAATCTTAAAGTGTGTCCAAATCATCAATGAGCTGGCTGTGATATTTATGGGTAGCTTGTTTTAAAAAATATTTTAATAACTATTTCACTAGAATTTGTTTCCTTTGTAAGCCTATCCATTTTATTTTCTGTACTTACAACTCCTTCAGATAGCACAAGAATATATATGCATTAAAGAGTTTCATGTCTTAGTAGCCTATAGTGACCACATATTTCCATGACAAGTCTTAGTGTTTTTTCCCAAAAGACCAAGGATGTACCTTTTGGTAGCTAGAAACAACTACACCTCCATTTTCATTCTGAAACCAACTAAGATGGATCACTAAAACCTTTGAGAACAGTAGCTTCTTAAGCAATTACTATGAGTACCAGGTTTGATCATGAAAGGGTAAGAAATATATATGTGCGTGTGATCCAGTCATCGGGACCTGAAGATACACAACCTTAACAAGATCTCTGCCAGGAGGGAAGGAGATGGGGATCAGGGCTTATTTCAATCCTGGCCAATGAATCATTGTTGATTTTCTTCTGCTCACTCAGATTGTTTCTATTAGATCCAAATTCATCAGAAAGGGTTTCAAACCACGTCCAACTCTTCCTCCATGCCTCCAAATACTCTTCAACCATAATAATATAAAGGTTCTTTTAAAAAGAAGAAAAACCAGATTCTGAACCAGTCCGAAATAAGCCACAATCTCAAGAAAATACAGCTTCAGATGTGGCATCCTGTAGCAACCAATTAACCAATTAACACTGACTTAAATCTGTGTTCACTCAAGAGTTACTCCTAATTCCACGTGAGAAAATCTTGGGATGAAGAAAGCCAATTTTCAGTCTAATTTTGACCAAAAAATTTTAATTAAAGAGTGGGAGGGAAATCTCCCTCACCATATGGACTTGAATGACACTATAACACTCATTTTCACTTGAGTTTGGGGCCAGAAACTGATCTCAGATTTCGAGGGGTGAGGGACTAGTCCATCAAGGCACAGACAGCATCTAGGCCTTCAATGGCTATGATTACTCCCAGTCTGCTCAACATTTTCCTCCTGTCTAGAAGGTCTCTTCTAGGGCCAATTCTATCTCCCAATTATACAGGCAGAAGAGAAAGTAAATGAACTAGAAACTCACCATCTTCTGAACTTCAAAATGAGCCGCTGTTTCCCAATATCCCTTCTCATTGGGGCATTCCACTCTGACCTCAAAGCCAGACGCCGTAGCAATTGTGGCCCCCTCTAGGCTGAGTGCCAGTGCCTGAATTCTTAGGTTATGTTGATAGCAATGGACGGGATCACGGCCAATCATCAGACTCCAAACATTAACAGTCCCTGAGCAGAAAGAGATAATACAAGCAATGCAATTAAGAGCATTAAATTATTTGAAAACTCGTGTGTGGTTTTTTTTTTTTTTGTAGTAACAAAGAACTAAAAAATAAAGTAGGTCCCCATTGATGGAAAACAGCTAAACAAGTTGTGGTACAGCAATCAATTGATCAATAAACATTTATTAAGCACCTACTAAGTTTCAGGCACCGTGCTAAGTGCATGAATGAAATGGGATATTTCTATACTGTAAGAAACAATGACTATAAACAATTCAGAGATTCATGAGAAGACCTATGTGAACTGATGCAAAGGGAAATAAATTAAACCAAGAAAACAATAAACACAATGACTGCCACAATGTAAATGGAAGGATAACATGAATATCAACAAAATGAAAAATGATTCTGTGTAATTATAAATTATAGACGATAAAATATACCTAACTTTTCTTTGCGGAGATGACAGGAGTAAAGGTGTAGAACAATGCATATGCCACTAGACCTGACTGATATGTTGATTGGTCTTGCTGAACTGGTTTTCCCCTTTTCTTTTATTCTTTGCTATAAGGTATGGTTCTCTGGGTAGGAGAAGGGGATATATTTGGAAATAATCAAAACAAAGGATACCAATAAAAAAAATTAAGAGTGGCAGAGACAGGAAAAATAGAACCTACACATTGGGGTGATTTCTGTTTAACTGAAATATAAGGAACTCTAAAACTTCCCAAAAAGCCTAGAGAAAATTGAAATGAACCTTTAGTTACTGGTACATGATACCCATGCTCAAACCACTGTTTTCCAAAGAGCTCTGCTATTCTTTGACATCAATAATGATTATTTCTATCCTTTTTTTTTTTAAACAAACTTTTCTAACTTTTTCTTCTGTCTCTGCATTGTTGTGCTCCAAAGCACACTATGACATTCCCAGTCTGCTCAACATTTTCCTCCTGTCTAGAAATTCTCTTCTAAGACCGATTCCACCTCCCAATTAAACAGGCAGAAGAGAAAGTAAATGAACTAGAAACTCACCATCTTCTGAACTTCAAAATATCCCTTCTCATTGGGGCATTCCACTCTGACCTCAAAGCCAGATGCTGTAGCAAGTGTGGCACCTTCCAAATTTTTTCTCCCTTTCTGCCCTGAGACAGCAAGCAATCTGATACAGGTTATACACGTACAATCAATCATATTAAATATATTTCTACCTTAGTCATGTTGTGAAAGAAGAATCAGAACAAAAGGGGAAAACCACAAAAAAGAAAAAACAACAATAAAAAAGAGAAAATAGTATGCTTCGATCTGCATTTAGACTCCATGGTTCTTTCTCTGGATGTGGATAGCATTTTCCATCATGAGTCTTTTGGAATTGTCTTAGATTATTGTATTGCTGAGAAGAGCTAAGTCTATCAAAGTTGATCGTTGCACAATGTTCTCCTCGTTCTGTTCACTTCATTTAGTATCAGTTCATGTAAGTCCTTCCAGGTTTTTATGAAATCTGCCTGCTCATCATTCCTTATAGCACAATGGTATTCCATTACATTCATATACCACAACTTGTTCAGCTATTCCCCAACTGATGGGCATCCTCTCAATTTCCAATTCTTTGCCACCACAAAAAGAGCCACTATAAATATTTTGTATATGTGGGTCCTTTCCCACTTTTTGTGATCTCTTTAGGATACAGACCTAGTAGTGGTATTGCTGGATCAAAGAGTATGCTTGGTTTTACAGCCCTTTGGGCATAGTAAGGGCCTCACATTCTACTGATTGGAAACTCCTGCTGGGAAAGACCTCTATAGCTTTCCATCTTTGTCTCTCCAGCACTAGCACAGTGCTTGTAAATGACAGACAATTAGTAAACATGCTCGATTTGTTTAGTTCCTATATAGTAAGTCATGTCTTTCCACTCACTCAAAATTCCACTGCCAAAAATGTATCCTGATTCAACAGAGCCTGGCAAGTATAAGATATCCCAAAGTATGAAAAACAGGACCCCCTCCAGACACCCTCGCCTCTAGTTCCAGTTCAATTCATTCCCCAAAATCCATTAAGAGAAAATTACACGGCCCAGAATTTTGTGAATCTGAGTAGAATTTGTCTTCTGTAAGTTCTACATGGTGCTTAGTTAAATATGAATACTCACTAAATCGATCACTATTGCCAATTTCTCTTGCCTCTGTTTTTCATTCACAAATCTATGTCAATTTTCCTGCTACTTCTTATCCCTAGAACACCCACGTGGCTTTACATCTGTCTTCCCTTGGCAGCCCATTTTCAGTCTTTTGTTCTCTGTTCAATATACTCTGTTTCTTTCAACTGTAAGTACTTTGGCCAGGGGCTTTTACCATAAAATAACATAGTCCAGAACAATAGAAGAATAATCTCTTAGGTTGGGTTGCAAGCATTTCCATCTATCAGCAGAATCAGGATGTGATGAGAAATGAAAGAGATCCCTCTCCTTGGAGGCAGGAGCTGCCTTAACCCTCCAGTGCAGTGTGTTGTCTTCATACCATGTTGAACATAGGAAACTATCTACATTTGCTAACAAATCACACTTCTTTGGTTCTGTTCTATGCATCTTTTCTTTTTCTTTTTTTCATTTACAAGAACAAAGTGAGGTGAGGAGTAAGCACCACAGGCCTTCAAGTGAGCAGAGACCTTTTGAAATTCTGCTGCAAAGTGAGCTGCCTGAGTCTAAGATGGCACCAGCTCCACATGTGACCGGCACAGGAGCGAGAGCCAGCCCAGCTCTCCCTGAGTCTGAGGCTGCGGCTTCCCCGAATCTGCTTAATGCTTCATTTCCAAATGCTTCTTCCTGTCTTTATTTTGAAGCAGCCCACCAATCAGTAGAAGGGACTTTCCTGGACCATGACTTCATGCGTCTCGGTCCCCCTTCAAATAACGGACACCAGAGCCCTGCCATGCCTCTCCAACTGTCCAAGTCAATCCTCCATAACAGCCTCTACCCAAGATGCTGGAGACCTTCCTCATGGATTTTTCCCTCCTCTGAAGCACCAATGCAGAACTCAGGCTGTCTATCCTACTAAAGTGCAAGCTCCTTGAGGACCAAGATTATATCTAGGCCAGGGGTGGGGAACCTGTGGCTCCAAGGCCACACGAGGCCTTCTAGGCCCTTACGCACGGCCCTCTGACTGAATCCAAACTTCTCAGAACAAATTCCCTTCATAAAAGGATTTTTTCTGTAAAACTTGGACTCAGTCAAAAGGCTGTACCAGAGGACCCAGAAGGCCACATGTGGCCTTGAGGCCACAGGTTCCCCACCCTTGATGGAGGTCAATGTACAGTGGGTACTTGATAAATGTTTGTTGACTGGTCTCTCTCACATAGATGCCATTGCTGAGAATATATCTCATTGGTCACCACTGCCCCTGGGGTAATTTATCATATTTTGGCCACGACAACCAATTAAACAGGCAGAAATCAAAATGATTTCCAGTCCAGTGTCTGCTACTTACATAATATTGGAAGCATATCCTAGCAAACAATTATAATTCCATAAATATTTGATTGATGCACATTACCAAAGTTACTCAATTTTTAAACTGCAAATTACTAACTCTTTATTTTTTCTGCCCCAGCAGAATGTCAGTTACTTAAAGACAAAGATTATTTTGGTGTGTTTTTTTTTTCACCGTATCCCCAGCACCAGCACAGTGCCAAGACTATAGTAGGAGCCTAATAAATGCTTGTTGAATTGAATTGATTTCATATGCACATTGGCAAAGCATGCAGTAGAGAGACTGATGGACCTGAAGTTAGAGGAACTGGTTTGGAAGCCAAGTTCTGCTAGGGATCAGCTGTGTAACCGTGGGCAAATGGCTTCATCCCTGTGGGCCTAGGCTTCCAATGATGGATTTGGATTAGATGACTTCTTAGGTCTCTTGTAGCTTCAAAAATCCCACGACAAATGTTTTCTGTAACATCAAGGAATCTTGCAACATCAGTCATTTTTCAGTCATTTCCGAGTTCGGTGACCCTATCTGGGGTTTTCTTGGCAAAGACATTGGAGTGGTTTGCTATTTCCTTCTCCAGCTCATTTTACAGCTGAGGGAACTGAGGCCAGATTTGAACTCAGGAAAGTAAGTCTTCCTGACTTCAGGCCGGCATTCTATCTATCCATTGCTCCACCTAGCTGATGTTATAACGTTATCCACTCATTTCAAAAGAATTCTAGGCAAAACTTTAATAGAGCTGTCAAGCTGCAAAAAGGTAATCTCTAGAAGTGGGGGTGGGAGGTAGACAATGAAAGGCCTCTTGAGAAGGTGGGACCTGAGCTGACTTTTAAAAGAAGTCAGGGAAGCCAGAAGGTGGAAGTGAGAAAGGAGAGCATTTCAGGTAGTGGGGACAGCCAGTGAGAAGGCCCAGAGTCTGGAGGTGAAGGTGTCCTGTGAGAAGAACAGCAAAGCTCAGTGTTACTGGATCATAGTTTGTAGAGGGAAGGAAAGCATAAGAAGGTCAGAAAGGTGTGTAAAGGGCTTCAAAAACCAGACAGGAGACTTTCTATTGGATCCTGGAGACAATGGGGAACCAGTGGAGTTTATTGAGTCGGGCAGTGGGTGCCATTGTCAGGCCTACGCTTAAGGAAGACCCCTTCGGCAGCTGAGTGGAAGATGTTTTAGAATGGGGAGAGGCTCCAGGCAGGGAGACTGACCAATGGGGTCCAGCCAGTCCAGAAGTACATGGGGGTAGGGAGGGAAGGTGGGGGGGCACATAAAAGAGAGGTTGTAAAGTTAAAAACAAAACAACAACAGACTGAATCTGTGCGGTGAGTGGGAACGAAGAGCTGAGAATGACACTGAGGTTAACAGCCCCGGAGACTGGGAGGTGGGAGGAAAATTGGAAATAGGGAGTTTGGGGTGGGAGGGAGTGAATTCTCTTTAAGATGGGTTGAGATGTCTAAAAGGCAGCTGGAGGTGAGGAGAGAGGTTAAATAGATATAAGAATCATCAGCATAGAGACAGATGATGACTGATCCCATGGAAG